TGTAGCAACTGTGTGACGTTTCATAAAAAAAAGGAGTGGGCAGTAATGCCATCCTCACATGAGGTATGGAAAAATGTCTCAGCTGGCATGTAATGACTCCTGCTCTTAAATTTCTCTTTTTATTTGTGTTTTAAGAAACAGTCCTATCATCTAATGGGTGTAATGAAGTTAATGGTGCCGAATATGCTAACATCATAGAATTGGCATTTAGTGTCAATTATTCACCAAAAAAAGAAACATAAGCGGTGACTAATGTACCGCAGCATTAAATGTTGATTTGCAAAGATGACGCACCGATGAAGTAATTGTCAAATTAATCATAAAGGAAAATATTGGGATTTGAAATAAAGTTGTTGGGTGAGCGTAAATGCTGATGCTTTTAGAAGGCTTCGTCAACCACTTTTGCACTTGACTTAAGTTCTTTGTTAGGAGATGTAAACAGAGTCCAGAGTTCATCTCTGCTTTGGGCTGCTGCATAATCTCTGCCTCCTTGCTCAGTCCCTGGGATTTATCTGGTTCCTCTACACGAGAGTTACACCAGGGTTCGAGAGACTCTGTTCTCTTCTGTTGAAATGGATACAGTTTGGGKTTTTTTTTTWAAAAAAAAACAAATCACAGGTGACAATGTCCACAGCTGTATTTCTTTTCCTCTATCTTAACCTAGGTAGGATCCTGGAGATTAAATTTAGCAGAGATGTGAAAATTGATCAAATGTTTTCTCCATTCCTTTAAGTACCACCAGGATATGAAACAACACCAAGGAACACAGGGAATAGTTCCAGGGGGTAGGTACCTTTGTTGGTTGAGGACAACATCTGGAAGTTAAGACAGCAACTCAAAGTGCCTTAATTCCCCGAGAAACTTAGTGACTGGGAATGCATGACTCAGAAGCGGGAGGAACACAGCCAGGACTGTGTAGGGATGAGACTGCATTGCAGGGATGTGGAGCAGCCCTGTGCCAGTGTGGGAGAGGCTACTGACAAAGAAACTGTAGCCAGGGCTGAGCTGGGCTGAGATCTCTGCCGTTTAACAGGCTGTGTGATTCCTTGAACTTGAATTTTCTCCTCTGAAAGTGGTTGTTGGGAAGGTTAATGAAATAAAGCAGGTCAGTCCCCCCAGTGCCTGGGGCATAGTAAGTGTTCAATAAATAGCACCTATGATGATTGTTTTTATTATTGCCCTTGTGACAAGAAAAAGGCAGCTTACAAGAGTCCACAGGGCATTTGCCCCAGACTCTGTTGTGGGAACTCTGTCCATGCACCTTGATTCTGGCTAGGCTCTTGTGTTCCGCTGCCAATTCTGACAGCAAGGACTGGGCTTTTGGGGGTTTGGTTTTCTTTCCCTTTTATATGGGCCCAGTGTAGCTCAGTACACAGTAGGTTCTCCATATGTGTTGAATAAAAGAATCTCTGTTAAAAAAAAAATTTCCCTTATTCACACAGAAAATATTAAATGATAAATGGCATTTATCTCAAAGAAAGGAAACATCCAAAAACTTTTGTGATTATAAAACTCTTCTGTAAGGTGAATGGATGACCATCAATCCAATGTCGAGTACCTCGTATCTTCAGTTTGTTGCTAGAGGAATACAATATATTTCAGTTTCCTCCCCGAAGCCCTCCGCAGTCTAGTTAGACAAAGGAGAAACACCTAGAAAGATGCACAGTGTATGCAGTCGGCACCTCTTTGTTATCTCACAGGGCTGACACACTCTTCCCACCACGGCAAGATTATTCGACACATAATATTACGTACAGAAAAGATGCTAAAATGGCAGGTCGTGATTGCCAGTTGAGTTGTAGAGACGGGAGGATGTCCAGATGCATAATGACAGGTGGGAAGAATCAAATAAGAAGACGATTAAAATGAAATGAGCCTGTTGGTAGGTTTTCCTGGACCCACAAAGTTGTGGAGATGATAAGTCGGACATACAGTACTTAGACATCTAGAAGAAAGGGGTAAAGAGATTTTAAGACGAGGGCCTACCTTAGCTCAATGACAGCTCTCTGTGCAGCATGTTGATGTCTGCCTGCCCCTGACACACCCCGTGTTCCTGTAAGTAGCACACAGTTGGGGCCAGGAGGTTGAAGAGGGTCCCCATCACTCAATGTGGAGAGACGTCATGAACGTGTAGGAAGACTAAGAATTGTGGGACAATGGAAAGGAAATGTGATTTTTTTTTTTTTAAGGAAAGGAACTAGTCACAGTGGTGCAGGCCTGTAATCCTAGTGGCTCTGGAGGCTGAGGCAGGAGGACCACAAGTTCAAAGCCAGCCTCAGAATAAGCGAGATGTTAAGCAACTCAGTGAGACCCTGTCTCTGAAGAAAATATAAAATAGGTCTGAGGATGGGGCTCTGTGGCCCAGTACTCCTGAGTCAATCCAGGGTACATSCCCCCAACCTCACCAAAAAAAGAAAGGACAGGTTTTAAAAATGCATGGAAGAGAAAAATTCTCAAATGGAAAAAAAAAAAAATACCCAGAATAATAGTGTGCAAGATACAGTGTGATGTTGAAAAACTYGAAGTTAAAAGAAGGGCAACCTGAGGATTCAGTTCTGCTTTGAAAGGCTCCTGGGATAAGATGAGGTCTCTGGGCTTCATTCGCTAGAGTTTCTCTCTCTCTGCTTTGCCACCCATTTCACTTTGGGGGTGAGGACCTGACTGCACGGCAGTACACACTTGAGCAAGAAATCCATAGTGCAAAATGGGTTGCCACGTCCCAAGACAAAACCTGAATGGAAATGATGGGAAATCATGTTTCACCAGGTGATCCATAGACAGATTCCATTACTGCCACATCCCTGACCCCTGCCTACTGTGACACAGGCCTGGCCACTGTTGCTCTTTAAAGTGTCATTATCAAAAAAACAAACTTAGTGTTAACAGTCACACTTCTAAGTTGTGACTAGCAGTTTCCTGGACTGTGTTTTCTCAGTTTAGTGGACAGAAAAATGGCATGAAACCTGAGTCTTTATGATCCTAAAATTATGACATCCTGCCTTCTGCTGCTACTGAAAAGACAAAAGGATCTGGCAGGCTTTTACCATCGATAAAATTAAACTTCACTAGTCATTGTAAAACTGTGCATAAGGAAAAAAAATAGTGATGTAAAACAAAAACACTACATCTTTTTTAAAAAAAAAAATTTAGTTATACATGGGTGCAATGTCTTTATTTTGTTTATTTATTTTTATGTGGTGCTTAGAATTGAACCCAGTGCCTCACATATGCAAGGCAAGCGCTGTGCCACTGAGCCACAACCCCAGCCCTAAAAACACGACATCTTTGCAATACGGTGGGATGGAGCTAGACAAGTGGAGCAAGAGAAGAGTTGTCGTCCACATCCGCCTTACAAAAAGTATTACCAACTGGAAAACTACAGAATCAGTGTCTGGAAACATAGGCCCCAAAACCACTGTGAAAAGAGTGCTTTGGGGCACATAATACAGATTTATTATCTCACATCGAAGAAAGTGTGGGGGCTGGAAGTAGAGTGGTAGAGTGCTTACCTACCAGGTGTAGTGAAGAGGCCCTGTCTTCCACCCCTGGCACCTCAAAAAAAAAAAAAAAAGTCAGGCCAAATGAATATTATAAATATGTCACCCAAGAGAGAAGAAATTAGTGGATGATTCTATTTCTGAGTTGTTACATTTTATTTGAAACTAATTAGTAAAATTGAAAGAAGTTCTTTCCACAACTATCTTCTCTTGGTTTAATTGGAAGTTTCAAAAGGGCCCTGGACTTTTAAAAAATAATAATAATAAATCCCTTTGAACAGTGACTATTCATTTTAGTCTCAAAGCTACTCTGTAACGGAAATCTACAATAACAGAATTTTCAGGACACAAAAAAATGTTGGAGGCTTTGATCTTGATTGTTTGATAAATCAATTTGAAGGAAGTCAGGAAGAGGGACGTTTCTAATCTCCTGAGCACAGGTGTTCTGAAGTGACGGCTTTATGGACAGGAATCCCTTTCATTCAGGTCTGGTGAGTCACTTGTTGGAATGCACTGGGCTCTAAGCCCACCAGGCAGTCAGGGATGTGACAGGCAGGTTTCTGTCTACATGAAGATGCAGGTTAAAATCAACAATAACTGTTGTTAACGAGGCTTTTATTTTAGTTTCTTTGGAAGTAAAATATTTAGCTCCGCTGGGTGCAGGGGCACATGCCTGTAATCCCAGTGGCTTGGGAGGCTGAGGCAGGAGGATCGCAAGTTTAAAGCCAGCCTCAAGCAATGACAAGGTACTAAGCAACTCAGTAGACCCGGTCACTAAATAAATACAAAATAGGACCGGGAATGTGGCACCGTGGTCAAGTGCCCCTGAGTTCAATCCCTGGTACAAAAAAAGTAATTCCATTTATGTTTTCCTCCAAGTATGACTGCAGAACTTATGCATGGGTCTTCAAAGAGTTTACCTAGCAATGTTCCTTTGAAGAGGTGACCATGTTTGTTCAGCAATGGTGTCAGGGTTATCAAAAATTATTCAGAAACAACACAATATGCGAGTATTATTTAGAAACTTACCAACTGGAGGCTATCTGTAATTTCCTTCCTATAATGGCTCACCGCCACCGGCCACACCCAACCGTTTCTCCCTTATTAGACACAGCTTGCCACTATTTTTCCCAGGACAAAGGTGGTTTTATTTTATTTTATTTATTTTTGTTTGGTTTCTCATTCTCTTGGACCACTTAATCTCCTGTAGATGCTCCTTCATGGCTTGACAGTAGAGATATTTGGGTACTTAGCTCAGTGGTAGAGCACTTGCCTAGCATGTATGAGGCACTGGGTTTGATCCTCATCACCACATAAGAATAAACAAAGATGTTATGTCCATCTACAATGAAAAATGATTAAAAAAAAAAAAAAAGATTGCATGCTCTTCCAAGGAAAGAATCGCCATGCCTGTATTCCGTAAATGCTGAGCACAGTCCCCTCTACATAACTGGCAACGAAGATCTGTCCGAATAAATAACTATGTCTTTTTGTATATTGCAGATCACCAGGAAGACCCTACTCTGTTCAATAAGAGGAGCCTGGCAGGTGAATCTCCGACAGCAGGACAAGAGTATTGATGGATCTGAAGCCAGTTCCCAAAGCCGTTCAGAATCCTGGGGAAATCACTTGTTCTTCTCTGCATTTATAGGGTCAGGTTGTTTCTGATGCAGTTGAGAAAAATGCAGACCATCAAAAAGGAGCAGGCATCTCTGGATACCTCCAGCCCCGGGGACAAAGGGATGGCACTCAGTTCTGCCTTAACCGAAGCCGCCACGGAGGACCTGGCCACAGGCGAAGAGCTACTTCTGAACGAAGGCAGCGTGGGGAAAAACAAGTCTTCCGCCTGCCGGAGGAAACGGGAATTCATTCCCGATGAGAAGAAGGATGCCATGTACTGGGAAAAAAGGCGGAAAAACAATGAAGCGGCCAAAAGGTCCCGGGAGAAGCGCCGGCTGAATGACCTGGTTTTGGAGAACAAACTCATTGCGCTGGGAGAAGAAAACGCCACTTTGAAAGCAGAACTGCTTTCCCTGAAATTAAAGTTTGGTTTAATCAGCTCCACGGCGTATGCCCAGGAGATCCAGAAACTCAGCAATTCTCCAGCCGTGTACTTTCAGGACTACCAGACTTCCAAGGCCACCGTGGGCTCCTTTGTGGACGAGCACGAAGCCTCCATCGTGTCCAGCAGCTGCATCTCTGTCATTAAGCACTCCCCGCAGAGCTCTCTGTCCGACGTGTCCGAGGTGTCCTCCGTGGAGCACACGCAGGAGAGTCCTGGGCAGGGCAGCTGCAGAAGTCCTGAGAACAAGTTCCACGTCATCAAGCAGGAGCCCGTGGAGCTCGACAGCTATGCCAGGGAGCCCAGGGACGACCGGGGCTCCTATGCCGCCTCCATCTACCAGAACTACCTGGGCAGCTCTTTCTCTGGCTACTCACACTCTCCACCTCTCCTGCAAGTCAACAGGTCCTCCAGCAACTCTCCCAGAACCTCAGAAACCGACGACGGTGTCGTGGGCAAGTCCTCCGACGGGGAGGACGAGCAGCAGGTTCCCAAGGGCCCCATCCATTCTCCAGTGGAACTGAAACGTGGGCACGCGACCGTGGTGAAAGTCCCCGAGGTGAATTCCTCGGCCTTGCCCCACAAGCTTCGGATCAAAGCCAAAGCCATGCAGATCAAAGTGGAGGCCTTGGATCATGATTTCGAGACCACGCAAAAACTTTCCTCGCCCGTCGACAGGACGTCGTCGAAAAGACATTTTGAACTTGAAAAGCCTAGTCCCCGGAGTCTGGTACATTCTTCCCTCACGCCTTTCTCAGTGCAAGTGACAAACATTCAAGATTGGTCCCTCAAATCGGAACACTGGCATCCGAAAGAACTGAGTGGCAAAGCTCAGAATGGTTTCAAAACTGGAGTGGTGGAAATCAAAGACAGTGGCTACAAAGTCTCCGATGCGGAGAATTTGTACTTGAAGCAGGGGATAGCAAACTTATCTGCAGAGGTGGTCTCACTTAAGAGACTCATAGCCACACAACCCATCTCTGCTTCAGACTCCGGGTAAATCACTACTGACTGAGAACTGGACGTTGAGGAAGCCGTCATTTGCCAAAGATGGCTACGTTTTTGTATGATGCTGAGTTTTCACTGGACCCATGTTGTCATTTCACTGTCGTGTGCACATGTCGTCTGTCGAGTGTCTTTGTGTGCACAAACTATGATGAAGATGAGGTTATGTCCTCACCCTTCCCTGTGTGTAGTCACATAGTCCACACGCAGGCTGTACATATCGGACATTATTTTTGTTGTTCTGTTATAAAGCGTGTAAGTTGCCAGTTTCAATAAAGGATTGGTGACAACACAGACATTCTGTTCCATTGCACTTGGTTTGAATGGAAAATGGAAAAACAATGTTAAGTGATCCAAGTACTTATTGAAGTTTATTTTTAAACCGATACGAGGCAGTTTCCCCTTCTGAATAAGGAAAAACGAAGTGTACATGAGCAGATGGTTTGTTTTCTAGACTCTAACAACTTCAGAAACCTTCTAAAGAGAGAGAGAAAATAGCCATGAATTTTCTTTTCTGAGACTAATTTGCTAATATTTACTGTTATATCATTTTCTTTAAAATATAGTTTTTCTATGATTTTTTTTAAAGTAGAAAAACCAGGCTGTCTGGCATTAATCTGCCTTTAGTCATCTCTTTTAAGTATGACACAGGGATGCAGAGAGTTGAGTCACTGACCCCGTTTATTAGATGAAAGGCTGCTTTTAAAGAGTGGGTAATAAGGATGGAAGCATTTTTATGTTGTAAATCTTAACAGTTCTGGTGTAGAAACCGTCTAGGGAATAAAAATAGTTATTTAGCTTATAACTATTTTTCTTTGGTTTCCGGAATTTCAAAGAACACATCAATTACCAGAGGCCAACATATATATGTAGTCCGAGTATGTATGATGATTTTTTTTTTAAAGATGTGGTCATGAGCTGAGGCTATAACTCAGTGGTAGAGCTTTTTTCTTGCACATACAAAACTCTCCAACACCACCAAATAAAAGATCTATTCGTGATAACTGTAAATAATAGCGCTACATCTTCAGGCATGGGTTTAAAAGTTACATAACTTCAGGGAAAAAAGCATCCTCCCAACTAAATTATTCCTGATTATTTGTCCAAGATGCTCCACTGTCCTGTGGCGCATGGTGTGACTGACCTCCACATGTCCTTCTGAGGCGGAGTGAGGTGGGTGTCAGTCAGGCACAGCTTTCTTGATAGGTAACTCCTGACCAAAGCCCTGTTTCCACACTGACCTCTTTTCCATTCCAGCAGTGGGGTAAAGGACTTGAGAAGGCAGGACAGGTACACAGTGACTCAGTCCTCACTCTGTACCTGCACCATGTTGGGCAGCAAAATGGAGACAGGGAGAGCCCAGCAGAGCATCCCATGTAGAGGGGCCGTGGTCTTTCTGACTGCCACTGCAAGCCAAGGCCTGATTTGAGACATGTCTCTCGCACTTTCATATTTTGCAGAGCACGGTGCTTGGCGTTAAAGGGAGTGACGATAGCACACACACACACCATGCACTTTTGTCCTTTGGCCACAGCTGCCACTCTTCTCTCCTGATTCTCTGGGCTGCTAGAGCATGTGTGGCCTGGCTTGGCCCTGGGCCTCTCTCTTCAGTATTTTACCGGCAGCCGGAGGAGGCCCGAGGCCGACTCCTCTGTGAATGTTGTAAAGAATCAGGACCCGAAAGCCTTTCACAGCCCAGAACGGACGAGACAATCAAAAAGCGTCAACTAGGACACAGGTGCAATGTAAAGTCTGGTTCCTACATTTTAAAAAAGACCATCCGGGGGGCTGAGGGTGCTCCGTGTTAGAGTACTTGCTTAGCATGCACAAGGCTCTGGGTTCAATCCTCGACAGAACAAGAAAGAAAAAAAAATACCATGTGAATTCACGATAAGGAGAAAAACAATAAGTGGGGGCACTTTTTTTTTTTTTTAAGCTCGCTGTGAGTCAAGGCACTGTGGAGAGTCGGGTTGTGTTAATGCAGGCAGGGTCCAAACCGAGTCCTCTGTCCCTAAGGGACCTGTTTGATAAAAGGTACAGCAGAAAACATTCCACAGGAGATGGGGGATTTCACATAAATAGGAGAAAGGGCTAATACAACGTTTGGTCAGTTACCTAGAGAAGGGTATGGCCTTCTGAGGTCCTGAAAAGGATACTACAAATGGGTGACAGCAAGAAAGGAAAATACCGAGTTTTCAGGAAGAACTTTGTAACTCTCGGAGCAGTGCAAAAGCAAAGTGCTTACCTGGGCCATCGCACCTACCTAATTTGCAAGGGGCTGGGTTTTTTTATTTGTTTGTTTGCTTTTTCCTGGTCTTTGATTCAATACACAGGATCGTGCTATGTTACCCAGGCTGCTCTCAAACTTCTATGCTCAAATGAACCTCCTGACTCCGCCTCCCTAGTGCCGGGACTACAGATGTGCCTCTCCTGTCCAGCTGGCACCTCCTATTGAGTATTTAGTGACCATCTTGCGAATCACACCTGGATGTCATGATTTGAACTCTCTTCTTTAGTGTTGGCATGTCTTATCGTGTCAAGGATCTACCTCATCCCTGGGATGATAACTAGAAAGTTACTCCTTAAAGATAAAAGGGATGCCATAAACCAGCCAGGAARCAGAGAAATGCAAAATGACACAGCAACACTTTTTTTGTTGTTGTTGCCAACGGAGAAGTACTACTGCTTCTCCTCTCTGCCCACAGAGCCCCCGTCAAATGGCAGAAAATGTGCTTAAAACCAAGTACATCCATGACTATCCAACCACGAGAAATGGAAACCTCAGAACTCCAAAATCTCAGGAATTTCCAGAAAGGAGGCTAGGGATGTGGTTTGGTGGTAGCAGGCTGTTCAATCAGCCCTAGGTGTGATCAGCACTGAGATGAAGAAAGAAAGAATGATTAATTTCAGAAATGTGGCTCCTCAGGTTGATCAAGGTAGCCAGAGAAAGCCACAGCTGGGCATGATACTAAGATGCTGCCTAAGGGCCCCAGGAGGAGCCGGCAGGGAGTCTGGGGGTTGATGCAGACACAGCTGCAGAAACTGCCCATCAAGGAGCCAATGGGGCCACGCACCCTGATGGCCAGCCGCTCCTCCTGTGGAGTGTGGTTCCTCCTGGCCCCTGTAGCCTGCCGTGCAGTGTTCCTACCCCGTGTCCAACAGTATGTCAACGGGAAGTTTTGGTGGTTAGGTTTTTTAAAAATTATTATTACTCTTTTTATAAAGTAGAATGCAGTAGTCCCTGTTGATCTGCAGGGGTTTTATGTTCCAGGACTCCTGTAGATAGATGTCTGAAACCATGAACAGTACTGCCTCCTATAGAGACTATGATTTTTCCTACACATACCTATGATGAATTTTAATTTATGAATTCAGGAAGAGTCTAGCAAACAATAATAAAGCAGAATAATTCATACGCTGTAATTTCTTTTTAAATTCAATGTTTCTGGAACTTTCCATTAATATTTTCAGATGAAGGTTGCCTGTAGGTATCTGTAATCACGGATAAAGGGAAGCTATTGTTGTCCAAGAGGACAGTGTGGTGCTGCTGGGAAAGGAAGGCCAGGGAAACTTCTCTTAGGTTCTTTGGTTTGATAGGAGGCTGAGGAGTTCCAAGCCTGTGGGAGGAAAGGAGAAAATCTTTTAAAAATATCCAAAGTGGCTTTTCTCGGGAGTTAGTAAAACTGCTGTTTAAGCATCTACTTTTCATGGTATGATATTTTATTTTTTTATCTCCAAGGAGCGAGTATTCCCAGCTAACATCATGGACATCTTCCACCTTGTGTGGATATCCACACTTTTTTTCCCCTGAACTGTAATCCTTCATCGGTGGATCTTTATGTCACACTGCCATTGTGAACTACTATTTTATAATAAAAATATTATGTTAGACTTGTTTTTAAAACTGGTAGTTATTCAGCTTGCTTTTATAAAACCAGACATCATCCTTCAAAAATGAGAATCAGCAGCACCACCTGCCTGGTGTTTAGTTTGTGTTAGGACAGGGACAGGAGCTGCTTAAGAAGCCATAAGATCACCAGGATGATTTGTGCCATGTCCCATTATCCGCCACTCCTGCCCCCAGAAAATGAGGAACATTTGCCACCSATGAGAAGTTGTTGGGATACTCACAACACCAGGAAGGATGAAGAAATCAGAGAAAATTTAGAATTATGAACTACAGTCTTATTAGAAAAGTGAACTAGGATGTCTTGTGGGAAAGACGTTTGGAATATGGCCAATTTGAAGATGTTAGTAATCTTGACCACAGAGGGAGTCCATATCCTGATGTATATACTGATACTGGTATGTGCTGATTCTAGTGGACACAAGGAAAGAATCCAAGAACTGACAGAGATGGGACATTGTAGCAGCATGAGCAACCCAGAAAAGAGGGGAAAGGAGGTCTTTTAACAATAGCATAGCAGTTTAACAAAAGGGACATTGATAACCCTGAAGTCAACAATTCTTGTCATGTAACAAGATTTTCATAAAAAAGTTATATTTTAACAGTTTCGTCATATTCCCAGTGAGAGAGGGAAGTTTCTGAGAAAGGGACTTTGAATACCTTACTGGGGGTCACACACACACACACCCACACAAAAACCTCTAAAAACAATGAGATCGGCAGGTGCCTGGGGAGAAAGGGAGAGAAATAGTGGTGGTGCCGCTTGTGTGAGTTTTAGGGGGTAGGGAAGGGCAGAGCGCAGGGTTACTTTTGAAAGGAGAAAAGAGGAGTCAGGGGCTGAGGCAGGACCCCACCTGGCACAGGGGCCAGTGCAGCCACCCAGTGGGTAGGCACCTGCAGGACCTACTAAGACAACTGTGATTTGAAACTGTTTCCACTGTTGAATGGAAACAGAGGCAAAATACTTCTTCCATTTCCTTCTCAGATTTTTAGTAAGTTCTATTAGGCACACACTTGCTTTTGTAGGTGGATTTACACACACACACACACACACACACACACACACACACCCCAGGAATTGAACACAGAGGTGCTTAACCAATGAGCAACATCCCCAGAGCTCTTTATTTATGTATGTATTTTTTATTTTGAGACAGAGTGTCACAGAGTTGCTTAGGGCCTCACTAAGTTGCCGAGGCTGGCCTTGAACTTGCAGTCCTCTTCACAGGTTCATTTTTGTCTGTCTGCTAGACTGTATCTGGGTCAGCGGAGCCAGACAGCATACCTGAATGCAGAAGGAGCCCAAGACCATAACCACCAAGGCTGACACCCCTGAGGAGTGGCTGAATCTGGAAGGAGTCTTGGCCTTGGGCAGCCCCTGCTGCTAAG